TTCTCAGTAATTTGAGTTTTACTCCACGAAGAAATGACTTTTGGAGGCTCGGAAGATGTTATTCGTAATCAGCTCGTTAAACTGAATCTGAATATGTATAATAAAGTCAAAAATAAATTCCACTGTAGGTTTGCATTAGCTGAACCTTACAACGCAGATAATTGAACTTTTTACTGATAAACTAATATTTACCAAAAATTCCATAGATACGAGATTGTAATGCATTCAATAACCAAGACTTGGTAATATGTTATATTTACAAAAAAAGTTTATTTAAACCACTGTTTAAACAGATTTTTCTAACAAATTTAAAAAAACATTCAGAAAACTTGAAACAAACTTGTTTATTCGTTCGTGTCCTTTACAATATGGAAGTCATATGCTCCCTTCGTTATCATGATTTAAGCGCAGTGGCAGAGCGACTTTTACTTTATCAAACTTGCCAGAAAGTCTTTTTGAACTTACTCTGGTTTTTGAAACTACCACCCCTCCAGCTTTAACTTCTTCACGCGCGCCGCTGTTTACGCGTAGCATCAAGTTTCATCAGAGCTTCACGTAAAATGATTTTTGGAAAGCTGGAAGGTACCTGAAAGATATATTATATTGAGTTTCATGGCAATACGTGTTTTCAGTAGAAAATCAGTGAAAATCTAGTCTAAATGTATGACCTATTCTTCGATATTTTCACAAAAGATGAAACCATTCATCATCTGCTTAAAATCGATTCAGATTACTTATATATTTCAATACGGCGTCGACTATGGCCCAACTACTAATAAAATCCAATTGTAATCATGTCTCTCATCCGTACAACAAACAAGATACAATAGTATCAAATATTTGAATGTAGCTTATATTGGTATTTATTCGTTCATTGAAATGTTATGATTTCATGATTTTCAAATCTGAGAATATTTTCAAAACAAATGTATAAAATGCAATCATAGATTTTTATCGTAACTTTAAATGAATTCTATTTTGAGAAAGATTATAGAGAGTAGAGTTGATTCGAGAATGTCTCTTGTAAAAATTACAATATAAAAGCTTATCGAATTGAATATATTGAAATATTTTCTAAAATAAATCTACGAAACAATTGCTTTATTACACGTATGTGCAAAATACAGTACCCATTGTGAATATATACGTTGAATGTTATCAAAATTTTGATAATTTGAATTTCAACAGTGGTCATTTATCCTTTTATTGATTGTTGTTCTAACATATTTTGCAAAAGACAAATATATTGTTAGAATTCTTTATATATGACAAAGAGTTTTGATATTACAACACAACGCCCATATATAATATATACATGACTGTTATTTTCATTCAATTTTTCATCCTACAAGAAAGCGAGAGAATGAGAACATTCTTAATAATGATCAGAAGAGGTGAGAAATCTGAAGAAAAGAACAAATTAATCGTAATCATAGTCATAATTTTGAGTCTGAATACAAATACTACCATTTTCACAATCATAAACACATTTTGTATTCCACTGAAGCCAAAATTCATTTTGAAATGATAGTAATGTTGTTTTTGCTTGCTCTTTAATTTCAGACTCTAAATGTGCAATAAAACAATAGAAATATTTTAGATTTATTAATTTTGTTGTTATCAACGATTGCCATCGTTGATCATTAATAAAATTGAAATCATTTGGTGAGTAAATACAACATGATAAATGTTTTAAATTTGGAAAATATTCAACAAAAATTTCAAATTCATCAAATTGATTTGTTGTATGTATATTAATTCTTAAATAAGTCAATGATAAATTTTTATTTATTGTTAATAATGACGGTGTTAACTGTTCAAATATATCCACATTTAAATATTTTAAATTTAATAATTGATTAATAATTACGTTGATACTATTGGGAGAGAATGGATCAATATTCATATATTCAAGATTAGATATGATACATGTTGTTGGTAGAATAAATTTAAATTTAGTATAATCAGCGCCCGAGAGTAGATATCTTTTCAATGTTGGAATAGTTAATAATATTTGTCCATAGTTATAATTTTCATGACAACAGAGTGTTAGTGATAATGATGTCAGTTGTTTTAATGAACCTAGTTGATGAACAAGCTCATTCAATTGATTAGTTGTTATTGATTCACATAGTAATACTAAAGATTTTAAATTAATATAATTTTTTGATTGAAAATGTAAACAAAAATCATTGGCATCCATTAATAAATATATAATTTGTTTATTGAACTTCGAAATCAAATCTTGGCAATCATGTTTTATTGAACATTGATATAATAGATCAAATTTCCATTGATGAAGATGATGAAGAATAGAATTAATTCTTGAATTTAAATTATAAAAACCATAATATAAATCACACGACGGAATATATTGAAATATTTCTTCAAACATTTCGTTTGGCATTACTTCTGGTGTGGCCATCTCTTGAATAATTCAAATGTATGATCAAATTAGTTTACAGTATCGGATAAGATAATCTCTATTCATGGGAAATAATTATGAAGTCTTTTAGTAAAAGTTGATCATTTGAACAGCTTCGCAATCAAAACACAATTTAAAAAATCCAGTTGCTGTAGCAGCAACAGTAATTCAAGTAGTTTACATGGAAACATTTCTGTTGTCATAACGATACTATCCAAAATATTGAGTGAGAAGAAGTAACTAAAAACATTAAAACTCCTCTATGATTAACGAAATATTTTAGCCGCACATATCGCGATGAGCGAAAATTAGGAAAAAACCTATCGTTTCTGCATTTTAGCTAGTTATTTAAAGAAGTTTAAAAAAAACATGACCTGTATGTTTTGATGTTTCTAGTTCAAAGCCCCGAGTCGGCCACATTGCGTATCCAAACGACTCTATCGAAACTCTGCCTGTTCAAATTCAAATTTGTACCTCAGACTCTAGACTCTCATACATCAAAGTGGTTTTCGCGTTCGACCTCAGGACCGTTCGAGAACGGGCAAAGTTTCGATGGAGTCAGTACGGTATTCAGTAGAAAACCCGGTTTTCGGTAGTAAGATTTTGTAACCAGGCAAGAAATAAGGGGGGGGGGATCACTCGTACGTATTATCATGCTACATAATCGGTGTCTATATGTTCTTCCTCCAGGAAGATAGTAGCGAGTGGAAAAGTGGCTAGATCCTGTAAATTTGTAAAACTTTTCTCCTGAATTATCAAAACTCTTTGTTATTCAATAACTTTTTGTCGCTTATTTATCTAAGTGACGTTTCGATTATAAGTAACAACAATCATTTTCAAGAGCTAACGTTTACAAAAGAGTAACAAGAAGTTTGAGTAATATGTATATATTTTCTTACAATTTCTGTGACGCTTTCTAGAAGATAAATGGAAGAAAAATATAAAAATAAAACACGTATTATCAAAGTAAAGAATACAATTATTAAACTTTAGGAATTTTTTGTCCGTGTAGAAATCTAACTGATTAGAAAAGAAAAGAAAATAGCATTTTTCAAAATTTCTCTCAATATAATTTACAATTTTGATTAAAACATTCTATTTTAGCCTCAACGAAGTTACTCATATCATATTTTAAATTTCAATTTGATCAAAAATATCTCTTTCTGTAAATAAAATGATAATTTGATTTGTACATCGTAACGACGTATGAAATAGTGTTGAAATTTCTTTACGTTTTTTTATTTCAGTGTTAGAATAGTTGATAGTTTAACATCATGTTGTTGATAAGCAACATGTCATGATTGGTTTGGGTCATATTGTTCACGTCGAGATATTTCAATTTGGTTGAATAATGTTGATGTTAGTGAAACTGAACGAAATTTTAATTATTCAATATCCAAACGAGAATGTGACTTGTGAATATGTGAACCATCGTATATTAATGTTGACAATATAGTAATATATCATTTAAATATACATTACGACCGTTTATGATTAATGATGTTAAATACGTAAGTGTTCTTGTTGAGATCCTAATTATATGAGGCAAGAATCAATAATCTTAACTTTACATATTTGCTCGATTCAATTTTTGCGAAAGTCGTTGGATCAATAGAAGGGATATTTAATAGAAAAATATCGGTATGCTATAGATCTATACATAGTCATCATTGTTCTGTGATCAGCATATTAAATCGATTTTTTTATTGAAGATGATGAGTTTAAGTTACAAAAACCTCGATAAAAATCAGATGGTTATGTAGTCAAACATTGCCTTCCATAATTCTTCTGGTATACGTTCGAATATATTCCACATTAGATATTTGTGTTTAATTTTTTTAATCTAAAACTGAAAACATATTCGTTATTATTCGAAATGAAAACATAAAACGCGGTTTAACAAAGTTCAACACACGTAACCCGAACATATGATTTTTTTGTTATTGACAAAATACAAGTCATCCGTAGAAACAAATTTCAATGCAGTTATATTTAAAGAATCATCACTGTATTAGCAGCATGAAATAGAAAAATGAGGAATTTAAACATAAATGAAATAACGTTAAAGAGAACAACTAACACGACTTGATTATGACTAGGAACATGGCTGAATGTTACTATAATATTGAGCTAGCGCTTTTATGATCCGGCAAGACTGAAAATATCAGTTGATATAATATTATAGAAACGACCTGGGGCCTGTTTCTTAAAAAAACTTAAGTAGAAAATCTTACTTAAGTCAAACTTAAGTCCAAAAAAGTCTTTGTCTTTTCTGACTTAAGTAAGATTTTCTACTTAAGTTTTTTTAAGAAACAGGCCCCAGACAACAGTGTCAAAACTGATTCACCGTGTTTTCAAAAAATAGTCTTCGATTGTTCTCTTGAATTTATCTTATAATCTAACCACCAACAAAAAAACGTACTTCTTTCGTGATTCTTAGACGTTTTTGGGGACAGTTTTATCTTTCCTTAAACACATTACAAAAGAATTGTAATCAACAACAATTATCCAATTCAAAATCTAAAATCGGATCATATAAAAGAGTTGCGTAAATGTATGTGTGGAACACATGGAAAAATGGCTAGTAGGTATCTCACGGACCAGTCAATGAGAAGAGAGCTAAAACAGAGAATAAATGTCAATGGAATTGCAAGACAGCTCGCACGAAATCTGATGTCTCTTAAATAAGTAGAGTTGAAGACAATTTCACGAAAAAGGTTGATTCCAAGAATAGGGGGAGCTACCTTACGATAAAATATAATAATAAAGAAAAAAGAGTCATCGATCAGGAAGCTTTGCCCTAGAAATTTATGAAATTGGCAATCGGCCAGAAAGTACACTTTTTCCGTATTACAAAACAAATTATAAATGTTTGGTAATACAGAAGTGGCAGCTTTTCATATCAGAGCGCATAATATAGAAATACCTTCTTCATCCCTTGCTTAGAATTTCTCTGTATTTGTCCTTTTGAAATATTCTTGCTTATAGTATGCATTAGTAATATAACTGGTATTAGGAATCAAAAAAAATTGTTATAACATAGTTATTGAGAGCCACCCCGACTTGCACAGTGTATCGTTTTGTAAATAAATGTTTCTCTGTGTATTTGCATCGAACAAAAAAAGGAGTAAAAGGAAGAAGGTTTTTTAGCGAATAGAGAGACAAAAACAATTATTCATAACTGGTGGCCAGTTATCATGTACAGTTATGGCATTTTACAACACGTCTATTTGACACGCAATTATCTTTAAACTTTTTTTGTTTTAACAAATACACATGTGTATTTGTTAAAATGTGTCTTTACAAAATGAGGCGTTTCGCAAGTCGAAACGATTCTTTATAACTGCGTTATAATAATTTTGCTGGATACCCCCAAAAAGCAGTCGGAAATAACTATTCTGTAACTGGTGTATACCTGCTTAGTCTTATTGATTTGCGTATCTTAGCTACGTATTAGTTTTGAAGACTGCTATGTTATCCATGTTGTCGAAACTGAACGAAACCGGCGGTAAACCACGGTTATTTCAGCTGAAATCATAGCAACGCGGCAGAAAAACCGACAGTTAACCTCACAATTAAATAACTGCTGTGTTGCTATGGTTTCAGCTGAAATAATCGCAGTTAATCATCGGTTCTTAAAATAACCGTGGTCAACCGCCGGTTTTCATCCGGTCTCGACAACATGGGTTGCAATGTCAAAATGATCTGAAGTACGTCTGCCTTCAGTCTCATGGTGACGCATCACTATTTAGATTGCAGACAGACATTCTTCGGATTATTCTAATATTTCAACGTTGAAAAAGCTAGTCTTCGAAAGAAATATCTAGCCAAGATGTGAAAGTACTTGAATCATGTTTACTTAGAAATGATCGATAAGTGCTTGACATTTTACTTTTAAGTATTTGAATCAATTGTGAACTTTTAAACAAGTAGTTGTAAGTTACTTACCAAGTACTTGGACAAGTACTTTACAGGTAACTCTACGTACTTAAAAATTACTTGTGGAAAAGTGCTTGGCTCAAGTGCTTGGCTTCAAGTCCATTCACTAGGAATGTCACCTATGCTAGACATTGAAGATGAGATATCTTATTCCATAGGACTCTAATAATATATTCATATTTTCGTTTTTTTTCACACGTGACTTCACCTATTTTATATTAAATAATCAGTACACGCAGTGAAACACTGTTAAAGAACCAGTAAGTGATCAGGTAATATTATTCAATACAGCACCTATAACAAGAGCGTACCTTTTCTATTACGGGCTGTATTACATAGAGAAAAAATGTATTTTAACGATTGTTTGAGAGTCATTTAATGATATGAATAAATTAAGAATAGTTTATGACTAAGCAATTAATAATGGGGAAGAGAGTTTGGACTAGGATGATGATTATCTGTAATTTGAAACTTGTTTTGATCACTTACTGAAAAGTGTGGTGTACAATGTGACATATACTTAATGTTGAAGAACTAGAGTTAAAGCAAATAGCACTGGACAAAATTTCATTTTCTGCTCGTTTCACTTCTTTTTCTTTTACAGGTAAAAACAGAGTTTGTTCTCCTTGTTTCATCCTGCGTGAGATGCATCCATGAGTATAAATCAGATTTTTTTCATAATAGATATAAATGACCTTAGTCGATAAGGAGTCTTTGCTTTTCTCTTCCCTCTTTTTTGACGGAAACATGGTTTATCCATATATTATAGCATACTCATATGAATGATCGAATCTCTAACATATCGACGTAAAAGACATTCTGAGTAAGAAAACATGTCTGTTCCTACCACTTATCTATCTACTATATCACTGGAACAAAAAAAAAGAGAGTTGGTTTTGAGTTGCTGAAAAATGCTTTTTCGTATCAGTCCACTACAGTTCAAGCAAAAAGCGATTGCACACTTGGGGATCTTCCCTCGTCAGAACATTTTCTATTTTTGGCGAGAGGTACTTCGAACAGTTCAGGAGAAGTTTTCAAACTAATATTGTCCTCCCATGGAAATTCTTCTCCGCCATTTTGTTTCAAAATTTTTTCTAAACTTTTGGAAGTGCCCCCTCGCCCAAAACAGAAAATTGTCTTTCGAATGTGCTGGATACGAAAAACTGCTTTCAACAACTCAAAACCAACTTAATTTTTTTTTTCCGGCTATAAAATAATGATATAAAACGACGACAACCAGTTGACAATTAAAACCAGAGAACTCCCTACAGCTGAAGGCACTCCGGACTTAAGTTTTGATAATATTATAATTTCTTACCACGGTCGGATTCTCATTCCCGTAGTGGAAATGATTCGAACGTGTCTATTGTTCATACAAGACTATTAATAGACCAAAAACTGTAACTTGTGTTACTAATTTATAGTAACTTTGTAAATGAGGGTTTGTACTAAAAACTCTCAAAACATACTTTAAGACACCTGGTGCTTCTTAAGTAATATAGCTTTATTAATCTGAGATAAACTGCATAGTTTATTCTAAAAAACTATAATTGAACAACGTTTCTATTTAGTAAGTGAATAATACGATTAACAACAACAACTATTCAGCATTCTGCTTTTCTAATTTTATTTCACTGGTGTTTGTTCATACAGAAATCTATTGTTCTCCACCTTTTTTTGTTGATAATAAATCATTAATTGTTGATCAAATATGCATGATATGGACACTCGAAGAAAGTATTTGTATCGTGCATCTACTGCAGCTAATAAGCCTGAACCTAAATCAACTGAACCTAAATCAACTGAATATCGTTTCGTTGAAAAATATGGCCATATTAATGTTGATTATGAATCGGTACAACGTATTCAAAGTATTCACAGTAATTTTATCATATTCATTATGGAAGCAGAATGGTGGCTGGTTATTACACTGTTCGTATGTGGTTTTGTATCAAGTTGGATCATGTTTGCCTTTCTATATTTTCTCGTTTCAATTGAACATGGTGATTTTGTGTTAACAGCAGAAGAACAACAATTACTTGATATTAATGCTACACTGACTCCGTCTAGTCGTGAAACGTGTGTACATGATGTTCACGATTTTTTTAGTGCATTGTTATTTTCAATTGAAACTCAATTAGCAATTGGATATGGATCAAGGTATATAACAACGGAATGTATGGGAGGTGTTTTGTTGTTAACAATTCAATCGACATTAGGCTATATTTTACAAGTAATCGTAGCTCAGGTTGTCTTTACAAAATTATCAAGACCAACAGGTTCGTATACGTACGTAAGATCATAAAGTATATTGTTATTATAAACTGAATTATACAAGAAAATATGTTTTACTACAGCAATTTTCTATTTGAATAATTCTAGAAAAATCACAATATGTTGTATTCAGCGAGAAAGCTGTTATTCTACCACGTGATAACGAATTGGGACTTGCATTTCGCATAGGTAAACCGAGTTATCAAATATCAATGATTTTATTTCCCAGAGAAAGAATGGTTTCATTTAACACGCTCAAAATAAGAGAAAATTGTCTACATTTTATATTATAATAATTGATATCTAAATGAGTTTGGATCGTAATCAATTTCATTGTTAGTTTTTTTATTAAAATCAGTGAGCATATATATTGTACGAATTCCATCTACTTTTTTTATTATCTAAAATTAATTATTTATTTTTAATTCTAGGAAATTTATCATCATCACAAATGATATTTGCCAACGTTCGTCTGCTTATGATTCGTTCACGAACAACTGAAGAAGGTGAAATAATACCGCATCAAATTTACGATATGGAATTAACTCGATTACGAAATGGACAATTATTTTTTCCTCGTCCAACAATTGTTGAACATATTATCGATCGAAATAGTCCTTTATATAGTATTCAACGTGCAACATTACCAAAACAAAAGTTTGAACTCATTGCTATTATCGAAGGAGCTTTTGATTGTACAGGTTTCTCATGTCATTTTCGTACATCCTATTTACCCAGTGAAATTTTATGGGGTTATCGATTTGGATCTTGTGATAGTTCGCTACAAGGTTTCGATTATAAAAAATTCAATGATGTTGATTTGGTGGATGGACGAGCGACATGGGTATACGATAGAAATACTAGTCCGGAAATAGGGATAGACAATGTAACTAATTATTTTTCAGTACCAGATTTACAAAGTGAACTTCTAAATACGGTAAGCGATTCGACAATAATCACTTCCCTACCACAAAGAAAAAAAATAACACTTAAAGAGACAAAATCAGAGCCTGAAGATACAGAAGACGAAATGGAAGAAATTATTGTTGAACAAAAACCATTAATGTTCACAACTTCAAGACAAGCACGCAAACATGTTTTAAATACATCACCTCAGATCTTAATAGAATCAAACATATATTGATTGAGTTTTTTTTCTTAATTATTATGTACTTTAGATTATAGGCAAATTAAAAATTTCTTTTCTTGAAAATATTGATAAACGTGAAAACGTGGCCATATCCTTTCTTCATTGAAATAGTCAAACAATTACATTCTTTTGTGAAATCTTTTTAAGATAGTTGCGGCAATATTCTACCGTTTGAAGATGTGACAGTTGCGTTCTAGGTGCGCCTGTGTGGTTAACGTGACGTATTCGTATGACAGGTGACAAATTTAGCTTTCGATAGAAACGAAAAAATAATTCTAAACGCGTACTTTTTACAGATGACACACGGAACCGACTTCAAAAGAGTCGCTAAAATACGACTATATGGGATCCGACTTACGTATCTCTATGTGACTAGAGCAAAGACGCTATAAAGTGACTAACAGCACCATATAACTTTCAAGGTAACACTAAAATGTGGCTTTTTATGATCCGACTTATATGTCCTATTACAATCGCTTTTCTCTTTAGAGTATAATTATACCTCTACTATCTACGATAGGATTTACTGATTATCTTGATATAGTTCTTTTTTTCTATTGTGGTTCAACTTGTTTAAATGCACTCTATGTATATGTTGCGGACAAACTTTAAATTCGGTCAAATTTTAAATTTGTTCGGTCAAAATTCAAATAAAAACAAAATGGTGGGATGAGCGGTAAAAAAGTACATATTACCTTTAGTTATTCAATTTTATCGTAGAGAAAATCAAGCAAAGATACAAAAACATGCCCTTGGTTTCATCTTTCCAGTAACGCTCTTGTTCATACTCGTAATGAGAATAGGTCGTTACTGAATAAGATACTTATTCACTTCATCGCTTAAAGGTGGCATGATTATTGAAGTGGTCTAGGATTTTTTTGTTTTCTTTTTTAAATTTTTTGTATAAAAAATATAGCCTGATTGTATATTCATAATGTTCGATATGTACATTTCCAAAATTTAGTTTTTGTAAAGTTTTTACTTATTCTAATTAGTAATGAATACTAAGATTAATCAAGATATTTACATTTCATGATTTTTCACAACACGTGTAGTTCTCAAAGCAAAAAAACAACAACTATGTACAGTTTAAGCAACGCTCATTTTAATCCCCATATTCTTGCAGGCCCCTTTTTTACTATGACATTTTGTAGAACAAGCAACTCTAGCTCTTTTATACGCACGATGTTTTGTTGCACATTTACTTTTACAATCACACGTTGTACCATTAACTGATCCTCTAGTACACAATTTTTACATGCTTCAATAAAACTTATATCATTTAATTCACCAATATCTTTTAATCTTTTAAAAACTTGTGGACAAGAAGATTTTAAATCAACAAAATGATCAACTGAGAATGCATTTTGTAGTACACCGTATTGACACACCATTTAAAAACAATGGAGTCACCCTTTTAATTTTTTTCAATAACAATACAAGGTAAAAATTTTTTGGTCCGTGTTAGTACGATCGGCAGTATGAATTTGGAGTCCAACACAATCACTTATATTAAATTTATCTGTTAGTTTACCAACGTAATTATGATGTAATTTCATTCGTTTTTTATTCACTAGTTAAATAATTATTCGTTGCGGTCTGTCGTATTAAATCATGTCTAGATGCTGTTGATGGTAAAGGAGAAGAGGAAGAAGGTTGTGTTGATGATAAATTAAGATCAAGAGAAGAGACGATTGTTTTAGAAGAAAAATCATTTGAATTCAACAAGGAAAGAAAAGCAGGTGATGTTATTTCATTTAACATACTCAATGCATCTTGTGTGCAATGAGTAGGCGTTAAACTAAAATCTACGTCGTCAAGAAGAAGAGAGAGTAAATCATTGTTGTTTGTTTTTGAACTTGAAGTACATGCAGTATTTTCTGGTGGCGAATCGAAAGATATAAGATTAACAACAAATGAATTATTACCGATAGACGAGGTACAGTTTCTTGTTGGTGATATTATATCAATTAATGAATTTGATATAGCCTCGTCAGTTAATTTTTGAACAAATTGTGTAACATCAGGATCAATAACATCATCCTAGGTGGTATCATGTTCGTTTGAAAGTACTACATCATCATCAACATCACCGTCCAGAGCAACGGGAGCTGGTAAATCTTCCTCATCCAAAATTTCATCTTGAGCAACTAATTTCAAAAAATCACTCTGCGATCTCGGCGCAGGTCCAAACATCACCTGATAAGGACTTGTTTTAATTGTGCTGGACATACGTGTGTTGATACCATAGACAACAGGTAATAGTTCTTCACCAATGAGTTGTATCGTTTTGTGTCATCCATTTCCCTAATGCATCACAGAGCACACTATTGGCACGCTCAATACAACCTTAAGACTGTGGATGTCTTGGTCTACCGCGTATAAAACACATATTGGGAAACAACAACTTCAACTCTGTTATAACGTTCGCAACGAATTGTCGACCATTATAACTATGCAACAAACGAGGTGGACTAAATGTGAAAAACAATTTTTTCAATTTAACTGATACATCAACCGCCGTTTTATTTTTTAATAGAAATGACCAACAAAATTTGGAATAATGATCTATGCAATTAAGAATCCAATTATAAACAACATTTTCTGAAACTTTGTCTGGTCTGGTCTGGTCTGGTGCGCATGTTTACCAAATCAATTTGTAAACGTGTCATTACACCTAAAGAAATAATGGATTTTGATACAACATGATGTTTAATTGGTTTACGTAACTGACATGGTAAACATTGTTTCAAGAAAATGTCAACAGCAAAACGAGGTAACCAAGAATAGTGAGAATTTATTTCATAAACTATTTTATGTCGACCACCGTGTGATATATTATTATGACATTCATCGATTACATTGTAAAAGGATTCAAAAATGCAAACAGGCTTCTTAGCTTTACAACAGCATACAATATCGTTACCCGCAACGCCCAACGTTGCCATAGTAATTGAAGAAGCAGCTTGAGTAGTATAAGTGCTGATACTCAGAGCTTGTCCTAGTATTTTTACAAGCGCTGGCCAACTGTCACAAAATGGCCGAAAAGGAAAAAAGGGCACTTAGTATTTCACCTCTTCTCAAGGCAAAACAAAAGAAAAAGTTCTTGCACTATAGATAAAAATGAAGCTAAAGAGCTGCTTAATCAATGAAAAAAGAAGAAGGCCGATGTCTATGTTTCTCTTTGAGTACGAAGGTCATCTTTGAAGGCCCGTTTTTTAAAATAGCCAACTTTCAGGCCTTCTAGCACAAAAAGTATTCAGTCTAATTTTTTTCTTTTCTCTCATTTGTAGTAGTCATCGAGCTCTACAAAATATTTCTCTCTCGTGTAGAAAATAATTTTCTACTTTTCTCTCTTGTGCTTGGCTTATCCATCGAATCTCTAACAGTCATTTTTCCGTATTTTGCGCACAGATACACTACACATATCCTGTGCGTAGTGTATCTAGTCAAGGGAATTTCGCTGTAGTATTATATTTCCATTATCGGACCTGCTTGCCGACTCGACTCCGGCAATAGTCAGAAATTCAAAAAACATCTGCTCGGTTCTTGAATTTCAGTGAGTTAAAAGTCGATTGTTTCTTAATGTTTACGCTAACTTTGATTTCAACTGAGCCAGAATAGGTTCTGATGCTGTGAAAGAAAAATATTTGAATCTTCAAGAAATGGGTTAAGCTGAAGCAATTTCGATGCTTGTATAGCATCTTATTCGTCACCAAGTCTTCAACATCTCACCGATCAAGTTGCTGCGGGTCTTTTTCATTTATCATACGGTCTCGCATGGATAGCCACTAGTCCCTTCAGCGATTTTCATAATTATCGGTCTAGCTTTTTACGAATCAATCAATCGTCAAGTGATGCTGCACAAACGATGGCAGATGTAGTTCAAGCTCTACGAGAAGATTTAGCAGCAACAATGTCTGAAGTACGGACGGCGATCAAAAATGCCTTCACATCTTTACAAAGAACAGTTACCATGGTGAAAATAATAGAAGTGGTGATGATTGGCCTATTACTAAGCACTGTTCCAGAAACACTGAACTTTGTGTTGACAACTTTGACCAAACTGGCAAAATTTGACAGCAGTGAACGAATAGTGCATATTTAATTATTTTTTTTGTAATTAAGAAAGTTTGGTTTTTTGTTTTGTTTTTCTTTTTTGGTGTTTTTCCCATTCAGATAGCAACAAAATGAAAACGTAACGCCAATGTATGATTTAGATGGACTTTAAAAAAGTAGCTCAGTCCAGTCCGAGTCCAGTAGATTGAGTAAATAGTCCAATGAACTTTGCAAACTTCTGCATGCTCTAGGACTGATCCATGAGCAGCACGACAATTATCAACAAACAGTTTATTGCTGCCAATTTCTATTTCCTCGTTGTCAGTTGTTAGGATTTCTAGAAAACCCGGTTTCCAAAAATCTCAACTTTGAGATCAATTTTCTCGGAGATAAAGCATCGGCCAAAAACAAATGTTTGAGAATTTTGAAGTACCCCCTATATAAGTCAGCACCCCCTATATAAGTCAGCACCCCCTATATAAGTCAGCACCCCCTATATAAGTCAGCAATGGGTATGAGACAGTCTGTAGAATTTGCAGTGGGCCAAGGGGAGGGAGCGGAAGTTGGTGAAAATTGAAAACTAGCGGTCAGCGTTTTCTCTACTATTCAGTCTAGAAAATAGCTGAAGTTCCGTGGTTTTTCACAATTAGACAGACAAGAGATTGGGAATTCTAAATCATACATCGGCGTTAGGTTTTCATTTTGTTGCTATTTGAATGGGAAAAACACCAAAAATCGCATTTTTATATAATTTTTCTTAAACAGTCAGTACACTGGGAGAAAATGTTTCTGCTACAAAAGATGTTCATATTGGTGAGTAGTATTTGTAAAAGCAGTTTGAACCTTTCATTTTTTGAAATGACAAAGTTATAACAAAAACAGTTTTGCTGGAAAGTCTTTCGGAGGCCTCGCCGGGAGGCTACCATGCGGTTATTTTGAAAAGTTTTTAAGATGATTTTTGTGATCACCATGATGAGTTCTACTAGTTCTAAAAGCGGCATACGGTTGGCAGAAAGTCGATGTAAATGTGGTACATTCTCCAAAGAATAACCCAAAAACTATGTTTTTCCTCTTACTTATATGTCTTGCAGTATTGGGGGCGTGATATCTCAAACTCACTTTTATATGAGGTAGTTCTAGAGAGAGATAGGAAAAGACTTTCTTTTTGTTTAATGTAATCATTGGCTAATTTAGATTGTTTCAAATAGGCGTACTGGTATTGATGTGGATAAATTTGACTACATTGCTCGAGATTGTCATTATTTAGCTGAGCAAGTTTTAAAGAATATTCTTTAAAACGCAAATGCACTTCGCTGTGGACGCATGAATTCACAGAAAGCGTGACCAAATTATTATACCAGATTAGAGCTATGCTAACTATCAAAATTCAAAACCCTTTTGTCCCGATGTCGAAAAATCTGCAGATTGCTTGCTCTTTGCACTTCGCAAACAATTCGTATGCAAAATCTGAGAATTCGCAACTTCGTTGCTGTTAAAGTAGATCAAAAGCAAAAAGATTTTTCCTCTAGGTCAAAAAATCTGCAGATTGCGTGCACCTTGCACATTGCATTCAATTTGTATGTGCAAATTGCAAATTCGTTTTTATCTCTAACATGAGCAGTAGTGAATCTGATTTCGTTATGCACTATTTGTCATACGTACTCATCTACGAATTCACATATTTAATTTGCATTTAATACGAATTAACTGCAATGTGCCGATTTTTAGAGTGGGAGGAAGGGAAGCTGGTCTCAACTTCCGCTATTTATCATACGCACTCATGGGCGAGTTTCAACAAGTTAATACGGGTTAAGTGCAATGTGCAAAGTGCACGCAATTTTGAGATTTTCAGAGCCGTAGGGCAACCTTTTCTGAGTTTAGATATTTATCACAGCTATTCTCCTTCAATTTTGCCGAATTCGCGTCTGCACATTAGTGCAGTTCGCGATCACTTCGAAAATGCAAACTGTTGCGACATAAAAAAACGTTCAACAGTTTCCGAACGTAATTCGCTTCTCGATAGACTTCGCAGATTTGGTATGTTTACACAGTGTTCGAAGTATCGATTAATTGCACTGAAGTACAATTCGCATGGGAAACGTCAACTGCGAATTCGTGTTTGAACTCCTTGGCCGCGCCACTCTTGCAGTCAAATGTTTCAAAACGATACATTTAAATTTAGAATTCGATATTCACTATAATAATGATCCGAACAAATATTCCAAAAAACCTGACTCTATGTTTTTCTAACACTGCAACTATCGTATCTCACGAGAGAGAAAGAGGATTAAATAACAATCACGTACCAGTGTACACATAATCCTAAGTTTATATATTTTTTAAAAGCCAAATTTTATATACAACTCATTTTCATGTAAAAAAAGTGATACAAAAAGAAAAAAAAAGATTAACCAATAGTAGAAATTGATGAAAATAAAAGAAAAAAGAAAACAGCTGCAAAAAAGCGATATGAAGTATATTTATTTTTAACAAAAACAATCATTTCGCTAAAACGAGCAAGAAAAATTGAGAAAAAAAAGAGGAAAAGCTTGGTTAACACATACACATGAACCGGATAAACAATTATTTTTAATTTAGATATACAAGACGACTAGATAATGAGTATTTTCAAAATAAATGCTCATGATTACTGTTATATAACAGAAAAGAGATAGTATTTTAAATAGAATTAATCTTTTTTTGTATGAGTATTTGGTGGAGGACTGTTCATACACATTTCTTTAAAACGTTCGGGAAGTAGAAATATAAGTAAAAGCATCACAACAGTCATTGATTGTTCACATGGATCCATAATACCACGTTGTAACCATTTTGGTATGGTTAAACGAGCATGACGAAAACCTAAACGTTGTAAAATATAATCGGCACCAAATGGTTCAACTTCATTACCATACGCTGTCAATAAACTAAAATATACAACAAACAGTTAGTATTAAAATAAACAAATAAATAGATTTAAAAAAACTATTTTTATCAAACAATAGAGAAAAACTACGATAAAAATAATTCTTTTAAAATATAAATTATACCGTATAGTTGGTTCTAATTTCCATTTTGAATCTGGACAAGTAAATTTTCTCAAGTCATTAGATAATTCATCTGATTTAATTTTATCTGTATCAGTTTTTGTTATCATAACATTTGTTGCTTGCGAAGTAGGTATTTGCATTTGAACTGTTTGTTGATTAGACGTATAGGTTACCGTAGTTGCTGGAGAAGTTACAGGAGGAGGTGGTGGTGGTGGTGGAGTATCTTTGACTGATGGATTTTGTGGTTTATTATCGTTTAAAGCTTGTACAAGTGCTAAAAAAAAGCAAATAGTTAAACTAGTTGGAAAAAACAAAAAATTAAGAACAATCTTACCTCTCTCTTTTTCTTTCATATACGATGAGATTAGATCGTGTAAGAAATAAAAATGTTCAGCATTAAACGAAAACATAATATGTTCGTAAAAATCAGTTTCAAAACTACAATGAACCTTTCCTAAAATAGCAAAAAAATTATTAAAATCGAGAAACGTAATGGAAGTATCAGATAGAACGAGTAGAGTTACAGCTTTCTTCATTGTAAAAGGAAGAAGAGTAGCCAGGATGAATTATTTGTAAAAAAAAAACTTCAGGGTTCATACTGCATCAGCGAGATTTGATCTCCTTTAGCCTTTGATTCAATCTTGTTCTTCTCATTATCATTTGTAGCTTACTATTCCTTCTTTCAAAACTTCTGTTCTAGTTAAATCATTTTTAATTCGAACTCTTCAAGAACCGAATGCTTTATTAACTAATTCTGTTATATCTTCAATACTTTTTGCTTTTTCTACACAATTCCGAACAATTTCTCTCTTTCATCAACAGGCTGTTAACAGTAAACATTTGATATTGTTGTTTTTATTATGTGACGTCAGAGATCTTCGTCTATCTATCTTTTCTTAACATGATGGACTATTTAACAAACTTTTACCAAAATTAACTTTTATCATAACTTTACTTTGTATTATTTTGGCTAAATGAATAGTCTAATAAAAAAACATCAATGACTAAATCTAACCTCTCAAGCAACATAAAAGAAACCAATAGAAATAGGGAGTCTCAGTGATGTAAGCGCATATATTTATGTTGTCACTGAGTGAATAGTAATAATTGTAATTAATCAGTTTTATCATGCGTACCATTGTGTTGTTTTGTTTGAAATCTTAATTCAAGTCCTGGCAGTACAAATATGGTTTCTGGATGTTGTTCAAGATGTTTATTGAGACCTTGTGGACGACCATTCTGTGGTTCAGGATCCATTGTGGGAAATGGTCTTAAGCCTAAAATAGACAACGAACATGTAGAAGTAATAAGAAAAAAAGAAAAAATTCAAAATACCAATAGCGGGTATTGTCGAATTAGCATAATTAAACCATTCATTAATTGTTAAATGGGATGGTGCTTCATTTGCGCCTCTTGTCACTTTTGATATACTTGCCATATTTGTTCGTGGTTTCAAACCTGTTTGCATCTTTCCATCTTGATGACCAAGATAGAAAAATAATTTTTGACTAACTAAAATATATTGAAAATATACTAAGTTTTATTCATTGAGAGAAAAATAAAAACGACATACTTTCATTATTATCTGTTTTATCTGTTACAAATATAATTTGTGGTTCATTCAATGAAAAAAGTGCCCATTGTCGACATTTAAAGTTGAGTCCATGAAATACAACTAACGTCAGATTATATCCTTGTAACATAATCTCACCACCGTTCATACCAATTATTCTTTTTACAACATTATGATCATATTTCTTTTCTTTTTTTATTGTTGGTGGTACTTCAGCAGTACCCTTCTCTTTCACTCGTTTATTAGGAGCTGTTGCCGAAGGTTGCTGATCTCTAAAATCCATTTGAATTGATGTTAATAAAGTTTTACTGTTCGCAATTTGTGATTTAAAAAATTCTTTAAGTTTATGAGCCATTTTAATGATATCAGGTGTTGTGGAACGAGTAATCATTAGATGAACTTGTGACCATTCAAGATTTAAAAAGACAAGAGTAGATGGAGTGACAGCTGTCGTTGTTGTAGAAGCATGACGATCATCTTTCAATCGTAAAATAATGTAGCAAATACGAGCCATAAGCGTTGGTGAACCCATATAATCGAGACGACATTCAATAGCATCGGTAGTTACATCAAAAACATGTGATGATTCAATTAACATTTTATCACGAACACCTTGACGTATCAAACCTATAAAGAAAAATAAATGCAGTTTTTAATATAAATAATTCGGGATGGAGTTAATTAAACACGCTGTTAGTATTAGATATGGTAACGGGATTTAAAAGTTGGGGAGACGAATTCCTTTAGAAAAACTGAAGACAAATTGATTTCTCTTCAGAAAGATCATTTTTAATTGATTTAAATCAAATTAATATTGAAGATAAATATCAAAATACTTTTCCGGTATTTAAACATAGAATTTTCTACTTTTATCTACGTTGACATGGCATCAAAAGTGGTGTGAGTAACGAGGGATGAATTAAGGTTAAATCCTCGTTTATGTATAGTTTATCAGATGTGCGCTGATAGTAAACAGAGAAAAAGGAGTCAAAAATAGAAAAGATAAATTCACAGAAATAGATCCGTCAAATTGTGTGAGCCGTTCTGCATCCCGTTTCCACGCTGTTTTATATTTCACAAATCTGTAGGGTGTCGTTCTCACTGTTCCTACGGTTCCGCTGCCTCTAGATGATATCTGATAAAGTAATGATCGAATTCGCTTAGATCTAAATCAAGAATAAAGCTATTCATCTACCTGTGGTTTGAAGATTCTTCAGACGAATAATTCCTCCTACAATTCCTTGTTCTGCTTGAAAATTTGAATTCTGTAATCCTATGGAAAAAAATAGACTACGATGTCCTTGGCTTGTTAATGATAAACTACCAGTTGAACAAACATCCGTTGTTTTCCATCTAAAAATGAAAGAAAAATAATTTATCTTATTTAAAAGTTAAGTTTTACAACTACTTACTCTACTTTTCCCATGACATTACTCATTCTCATTGAAATATGTAATTCTTTTAAATTAATTGCTAATAATACACGAGTTTTCCATTTGTGAATATTTGCAGTGGTAGCAGTTGGAGTTGTACTAATATTTGAACCCATCGGGGTTGTTTGATTTGGACTTGCTTGTGATCGAGAAGGATAAGCGGACGAATCACCACCTCCAGTACGCATACCGGATGAAGTTGCATCACCACTTTTAGAAGATTTTGTTGGCACATCTAAATAGACAAAAAGAAAAACACATAACGTGAACAAATTGCTACAAAGAACGGTAGAATTCTCAGTTCTTTATCATAAATATTTAAAACGTCTAAAAGTCGACAACATTTTCTTTTGTTTTCATTCATGTTCGTAAGGCAAGAGAGTTGAGCGTCCCCACTGATTGCAATAAGAACGGACAAGACAATGTTGAGTGGATTTTTCAGAATCATCGCTTTGGAGGGACAAACATATCTATGAAAAATATCAGATTTTTCCTATGTTTTTCAACAAAAAACATTTAGCGCCGTCGGCAAAGTCATCAATTAATATTTGTTTGTCATACAAATAATTAACTATTTATTTTAGTACCATCAGAACTACAAACCCATCAATATGTCCAGATATTTCAATTACATTAAATACTACTCTCTATATCTTATCGCCATCTGATCGACTGTTTCTATAATGACGTCACGCAAAACAGAAAACAACAACAAACATTTCGCTCATCTAAGCAACATATGTCATGAAACTGTTAGACAATCTGTATATTTTCTGTATCACATTTTGTATATTTAATGTGCAAATTTTTTTTATTTTCTTGTTTATTTGCAAAACTCTGTTCGTTTTTTGTTTGTGTCATTGGTTCTCTGTTTATTTATAAAACAGAAACCATTACGTCACGTAACTTTACCATCGGTTTTGAATGTTAGAAAAATAACTTGCACAAGCTCACTTCAGTTATGAGGATATGCAATCAGAAGCCAGATTTGTAATCTGATTATTAAAAGAGAAACTCAACCAAAATATTTCACTTTTTTCCATTTTCAATAATTCAGTATTGGTAAAGAAATGGGATATTTTATTCAAGTTCTGTATAGCCGATACATCATAATCATCTGTTATGCCTGCGTGCCGCTTCCTAATAAACTACCAATCACATTAACTATACTCAAAATTGAAATTTGGAGAGAGAGCAGTTGAAAATAGTAAGAGTTTATATAGAAAGTCCAATAAATCATAGATTAATAATCATGTTCGTGGCAGTTTTGCACTTTCTATATAAACTCTTACTCAAAATTGTAAAGTGCATCGTCATTGCAGCTATTTCATTAAAAAAATAAGAATATCTAAGGTCATTTTGTTTTTCTATTGCCATGTCGTAAAAATCCTCATCATTTCGCTGTGGATATAACACACATTCATACATACACTGGTTCACTTTGTTGATCATCTATCGTTCAAACAACGAGTTAAAAATCTTCAATTTGTTTTATTGAAAACTTAAACATTTTTACTCTGTCCGTTTAATCTATGTTGTACACATTTCGAGCGTTTAGATACCGATAGTTATGGAAGTATGAATCCCATATTTATTTTACAAACAGAAATTCTCGTTTCAAATGAAGCTAAAGAAACAGTTTCGATCTAATTTAGTCTTTAAAGAGTATGATATTCGTCAAGTGCGCATTTGTAGACTGAAAAGAGATGTAGCTTGCTCTTATTAATAACTGATTAACAAGTAAACTCATTCTTTTAAATAAAATATCACTTGGAACAGGCTAATTAGTACTCAATAGTTCTTGCGGGTATTTGTAAAATTCGTTAACATCCCACTAACAGTCCAGAATTAAGTCAATAGATAGAGCTCATCGAGTTCATTATACCAACATCGGCTAACATTCAGACGGATACTTAATAACGACCATTAACAGTTAAATCACTTTAACTTTATAATTTCGTAAAAATAAACTTAATCCCACGTGGAGAGTCGAGTAACGTGTAGTTCATGTCGTTTCTGGATGCTAGTGGTTACCAATAGATTTTAGTGACTAGATCTTGACTGTTAATAGTTGTTATTTCAGTATCGAATATTAGTTGATGTTGGTATAATCAACTCTATGAGCTCTGTCTATTAACTGTATTAGATTTATTAATTCTGGACGGTTCGTGGCTGTTAACGAATTTTATAAGTACTCAGCTAAATAGCAAGTGTTTGTGTTTAAAATCATTTTTCTTTTATCTAGTTTCACCAGACTTTTCCCTATTCCATAACTGAACCAGTATTAAACGTATCAACTCTACACGTCTTCTAGAAACATAGTACACACAAAATGAAGCATCTCTGATGTTTTTGTTGTTATTTTCATAAACATATATCGATTCTCGTTCCAAAAGTATTTAGTTATTCATCAGATCCATCCACAAGTATTCTTGATTGTAAATATATTCTAATGGAAAAATTTTACGGTCATTCTCTCAAATCTGATATGAAAACGATGACGGATGATGCATTCATAAGAACAGTATCGGAAATAGTAGCGTACATTAAAGAAGATTATCTTCAGTATCAATTCAAAAATCAGAAAATCATGTTTAAAAAACATTCATTCAAAAAAAAATAATAATCAAAACAATAAATTAGATTAGACAGAGTTTTGCTATAGTTTATTTCTATTTGTTTTTCGAATAAAAAGTATTTGCATGTACAACTTGCATAAAGATCACGTTTTATTTTCTTCTTTTGTCTTAGCATACATGAATTAGATAAAAATAGAGCTATAGTACTTAAAAATACGATTAACTTACCTGGTTTTACCGTACTATTTGCTCGTGTTGATTTTCGTTCTTGTGTTGATATATTTTCATCACCTAGAAACAAACGTCTAGCCAACGATCGATTATACCATATTTTTGGAAATGTTAATATTTCTGAAAAACGTCGAATATCATATTCAAATTGTGCACGACTAATAAGACCAATAACAGATAATTTAACACTATTAACAGGTTCTTGTTGTTGTTCAATAATAGTACGTCGTGTACGAGAAATATTAAATGAAACAGATTGAACACTAACAGAGAGAGCATTACGCGTTTGTAATTGACCAGATTTAATATCTTCAAATAGTTGTACTTTTGATTCTCCACTATATAAAATAATATTAAATAGTTTAACAATTTATTAAAATTATATAATTCAATTGAAACTTACCTGAATGGATGATAAATATTAAGTTTAAAATCTTTCATAAATAATGAAAATGATATACCACCAATAGAATTTTCTATAACTTGTATATTTTTTTCATCATCATCCGTAGCCATTCTTGATTGTTCTATTTCAATATTTGCACGTTTGGATGAGAAGACAACATCAACAGCCGGTAATTTTAATTCACATTCCATGGGATGAGATGGTAAACATGTAAATAAAAGAATAGACGGTTGAATAAATATACTAACAACAACATCAATGGGAAATGATGTTGGTTGATCTTCAATTAAAAACCTAAAATATGTATAAAAGATGAATAGATAATTGTTAGATATACTCTATTTTCTAATTTACATGGCATTTAGATGACTATCTGATGCTTGGTCATCCGTTTGTTGTTGTCCATTTGCTAATGTTTGATGTTTTATTTTTGATGGTTCGGGTAAATTGACATGTTCAAGCATTTGTTCAACAAAATCTAATAATAGCGGATGTATTGTTATTATAGTAACTGGTGATTGAATAGTTGCACGACAATAAAAATTTGCTCGTTTTGTAACACTTGTTTGATGTTTTGATGATAATTCGTTTGTATCATTGGCCGAATCATGCTTTGAAACATAATGTGCATCAACAAGAACACCGGGTAAAGAAAATTCTGATACTTGATATTCAATTTTATTAACAACTACTGATAAACCAGTATATTGAGTGGATGGTTGTTGTTTCGATGTGGCCGATGTATTTATGGAATGTGAACCTGATGGAAGTAATTTATTATTTTGAGAATTTTGAAGTAAATCACGACGTGTAAATAAATTACAAGAACCACTGGCAATTTGAACTTGTACATTGAGTTCTAAATCGACAGCTGGTGCCGTCGTTATTTCACCGATACCAACATTATTGTTTAAATTATTATTTGATGATGAATGTAATTGTTGACTCCCATCAATATCAAATGATTGAGGAATACTAAAAACAAGCAAAAGATGAATTCTAGTAAAAGAATAAATAAGTGCACGGTAATAGTAAAACATGAAGACACTCACAGACAGCTATAGACAGCTCCACAGACAACTCAAAGTAGTTACACAGACATCCACTTCTGGAGACGTAAGTGAATATCTGTGTAGCTGCTTTGGGTTGTCTGTGTGCTGTCTGTAGCTGTCTTCATGTTTTACTATTATCCAATAAGCGTATGATTAATTAAACAATCCTTATATAGCATTAAATATAGCATGTGTTGTTATTTAAGAGTACTACTTGAACAAATAATATCTCAACACCACCCATTCTGTTAAATAGATAACTTCAAAAAATTAAAATACCTATTAATAAAAAAAAAAACTGAAATTTCTCAACTACCTATAATATGTCTCCTCAAATGGATTATTGCTAAAAACATAAATATACAGTGGAAATATATATCTTTTTTCAAAAATGATTTCTTACCGATTTAATAAGGGTGGTTTAGGTGTATTTGAATTATCTTCATTATCATCTTCTCGTATAGGTGACGGATGACTGTATGAATGAAAGGGTAGTAAATCTTTGTCAGATGAACTAAAAAAGTAAATAGAAGAGAAATATTAAAATCTATAAAATTGTAGTATATAAAATAATTATTGATTAAAACAAAATATTTTCATATAAGCATTTTAACGGGTGATCATTACATATCATTAATCATAGAATCAAAATACAAAAACATTTATTTTACTGAAATAGTGTCCATAACACACTATTAAAATAATAAAAATACAAAAGAATGAAGTCAAGTTACCTTGTGCCACTAATAAATTCTCCATTGTTATGATTCAGATAAATAGAAGCATCCGAATAACCGAAAGAATTTGATTTAATATGTCTAAAAGCAAGGAGAGTGAGACAAAGCATAGTGCAAACACACACACACACACATATACATAGACAAAGTGCACAAGACATTTAAGAAGCTCTGTTTTTAAGCACAGAGAAATAATGTGTAAAGCTTTTAAATCATGTGTAAAGATATGAGATGAAATTAAAGCATTTATTCTTACCTGACATTTCTTAAATTTGACGTGTAATCATGCGATTGTGCACGTTTATGATCTGACGCATTTCGACGATCACGATTTATCACAGTCTGAAAAATAGAATAAGAAAATAAAATATCTACAGTACAACCATCATCATTTAATATAGTAAACAAAATTCATTGAAGATACAATGAGGAACGATCAAAAGTAAGTTTAATGCATCTGTCTTGATTACTTATTGTCAATAAATTTGAAAAGTGTGTTTCTTAGCACTGATCAATGTTTTTTTCTCGATCTAAGTAACTAACTATAAATGAAATGCTAAAAACTGACTTTTCAGAAAATCCATATCCAAAAAACGAAGTATATTAAATTCGCTCCGAATATTCATCAGTTTACAAAGAGCTTCGTAGACATTTTTTCCTATTTCTCTGTCAATTTCACGACTTTTGTAAAACTGCGCGGCTTTTCATGAATTCAGTGCAGTTTTATGCCCTAGAGACATCGGAAACGTCTCGTTTTGCTGAGAAATATTTGCTTTAGATCATCCAGAGATAACATATCAGTTCTGACTAGAAATCTCTTTTAGTTTTTTTTCAAACTAAATCGTTTTTATAATTTTGATCATTATTGTCAAAAACTGTCTTTGCTTTCTGCATGTTTTTCTATATACAAGTGAACATTTGTTCGACAACTTTTATCTAACTAACGTATTTTATAGAAATAAAACATTCGATTCTCCATATAACAACAAATCAAACGTTGTATTTTCTCTTCATCTTCTTAATATATATCCTTGATAAAAAAAAAGTGGACTAACGAATCGTAATGCACCACCGTCAGTCAAATAGGATGGGATAGGATATAACCGAAGATGAAAATCTGACAATTTTTAGTTCAATTTCTAGCAAAGATATATTAAGAAGATGAAGACAACATATAGCGTTTGATTTGTTGTCATGTGGAGATTCGAATGTTTTATTTCTATGCCTCAGTTAGATAAAAAAACGTCAAATATCAGTCCAATTTGATTTAAAAATCATATTCACAGTCTTCTATTCTTCATTTCGAAAGATATAGACTTGAAGTCTCTATGGTAAACAACTTGACCATAGAGACTTTAAGTCCACTTACCACAGAAATAAAAATCAGTCAAATCTAAGAGAAAGTATTGTCGTTATCCGTCATCTCTGACTCACTCTTAAAAATCAAAACATTTCAACAAAGAGATATAAAATCTGTGATCAATCTCATTTAGATTCTAACATATCAACATATCAACATAACACGGTACATGTGGTGTGGTGTGCTCAAGCTATCCTTTGTGCTTACAACATCAAAAATATTAAACATAAGATTTTACATGCATCGTGCATATATCTTTATCTCGACTCTAATCATGCCATGACAAAACAACACAATAACAGTCTGGTCTTCTATACATCTATCTTTACCATTATTTGATCAGATGAAGGACTAACTCCTGACGTACGTCTCAATATTTCCTGTTGTTGCGAAGACAATATCTGAGTTTGTGGCTATAAATTATTTCGTATCAAAACTTCTTCAAACTTTTATTCAAAGAAAAACTGACGATGTTCTTACTTTTGTCGATTGTTTTTTCATTTTTTGCTGTATTTCTCTACGAATATTTTGCATTAATTCTTGTTCCAAACGTTTAAAACGAGCCATTTCTGGTTGAATTTGATCGAATGGAGCATTCGCTTTCCTAGAATGAAGATGAACAGTCAAAATTAAATATATTCAAATTCATATATCAGTGAATTATTCTTACTTGAGCATATCAATTTTTTGACCTAGAACTACTTGTTCATATTCCAGTCGTTGTTTTTTAGCTTTTTCATCTTCATCTTGTGATTCAATATTACCACTTGAACCATTTCCTACCGTATGACTACCATTACTTAAATTTAAATCATCACCACCATTAATAAGTGATCCACTATCATCAGTCACCACTGGTTCCATCAAATGTGTCGACGTAATTGTTGTTATTAGTTGAGAAAAACGTTTTCCAATAATTGAATCAAGATTAATATCAATACCTTTCATGTCCCATTCAACATTTAAAAACCATTTTGGACTAGAGCCTTTAAAAAAGACACGATAATATGAGTGTAAAACATTTTTTTTGTTTTGGTCATTATTTACATTTACCTGGTCTTATTTGTTTTGCTCGAGAATACATAACATATTGACCACTTGGTACACAACATGCATTCATAATAACCTTCTCTTTTCTTACTGGTATCCAATCGGAATTTGTTTGTTTAAAATTTTCAGCAAAACGAAAACAAAAGCCTTCAAATGATCCAGAACTAATGATGGCACCACATGAACACGCTGATATTGTCGTTTTTTCCAACGTAAATACGAGAAAATCACCACTATCAGCTGATGTAGATGAAGAATCAAGTGATTGTTGAGTAGCGCTATCCAATGGAGTCTAAAGATGATAAATAAAATTGTTAAAATTAATTCACATTAAAAAAAAATATGTATAAATGCACTTACAACATATTGTAATGGTATGGCGATGCCTAAATCAACAATATTCAATTGAAACATTAAATTTAATTGATCTGGTGTAACAGTGACAATTTGACGAAGATGAGAATTCTAAAAATATGAAAAAATATTCTTATTTTTATTTTTATCATTTTTCATTCCTACTTCATTGGCAAATTGACCACGTTGTTCATTCCAATGTTCGTACGTATTTTTATAATTTAACCAGAACAGTATTGCTAAAAGAGAAATTACTGTCATAAAGATCTTTATTTATTTTGTTATAAAGTATACCTTTATCAATGGCACCTGGTTGCCAATAGAAACTCGGTTTTGTTAGTCGTAGAAAAAAGGCCTCTTTATCTTGATTATCAGGCTAAAAAAAGTAATAGAAACAACTTTTAAATATGTATAACTAACTGAGAAAAGTTGTTTGTTATCATTTACCCGAAATGATTTTTTCAATAATACTTTTGTTTTAAAATATGCCGCATCTTGAAATCCACCAGTATGTAATAACTGTCCCAAACTCAATTTAATATCTAATGATGCATTAATCAATGGTTTATAGAGCAAAATTGAATGAACATCATCATAATTCGTCATTTTTACTAGAATCGCTGATTTTTGTCCATTTTCAAATTTGACAACGGTATTCGACGGTGTCATACCAGTTACTTCAAAACCACGCATTAATAAATCAATTTTATATGTGAATGGAACAACTTTAGCGCCACCTTGTTGACCAGTTGTAGCATCGGTTGTCTCTTCTTCATCATCATCTTCTTCTTCTTCAGTCGATGATTCAGAACCGGATGACGATATTTTCATAATTGGTGCTGTTTTTATTGTTGTTGGTGGTTGTTGTTTGGCCGGTAAAAAATGAAAGTGTTCAATACCACTTACTTTTGCTAAAATTTCATTAATTTCACGAATAATGACTTTTGAGACGAATACCAGTTGAGCTAAAACATAATATCAAAAGTGGGTTTTTGTGTTACATATTTATGATCAAAATATAGACTTACCAAGAAAATCAGCAGTTATTGTTAAATTTAATAGTTCTACTCGTGTCTTCAAATTTAAATGTCCATTCGTTTTATTATTTGTTAATGGTTGATTTTCTTGTAGTTCTTGTTCATTTTTAACTAAATATTCACCATTAATACGAATAACAGGAAAATCAATTCGAACATGGTTATCCGAATTCGATGAAAGACTTGAATATTCATCTTGTGTAGATGTATTTAAAAAGTGAAGAGCATGCTCACGCATAATAGCCGAAAATTTTGATATTAAACCAATATTTGCCACACCTTCAATAATACCAATTTTATATTGAGCTTTTAACGTTGGAAGAAGTGTAGTAGAAAATGTCATGCCTAGAAATGAAATATAGATGAAAAATGTTGAGGAATAAATTACAAATGAATAACATACCTTGAAAATGTGCTGTGATATGTGCTTCAAATATTGGTTTTTTACTTGTCAATGAATTTGCTGTACTCTGTTGTGATTTTAAACGTCTTTGTCGATGATTATCTCCACTTCGTCTTCGTCGTTGTGATACAGTTGACATACGTTTCTTTTCTTTTCTCGGTTTGATTTGAACGGGAGTTGGTGTCAACGGTTCACCATCAGGTAAATCACTTGCACCAGCCGTAGTTGAATCACCTGTTGTTGTTGTTGTTGTAGGTTTTACAGCATTTGGATCATCTAGAATATAGAGAATCATAGGATGAAAAATAAAAGTATTAATAGTCTCAGTTCATGTTCAGTTTGTTTTCTAAAGTTCGTATATACCCGGTAAAAATTCCATTACACTTGAGGCTATAAGTCGACTTGTTCTGTTCACTAGATCATGAACATCTTGCGGTCTGAGTGGTACATCCATTGTTATTGAGCCAATATTTGTGACACCAGATAGAGTTAAATGAATTCCACGAGTTTGTAATGACGTGAGAGCTTGGGATTTGCCAACAACAATGTCGAGAACTGACGTTTGTGGTGAATGAGTTTGCGTTGTTGACTGATGTGTATGATGATGATGATGATGAAGGGGCGAATGAAATCGAGGATGATGATGTTGTTTCGATGGAAATGATGATGATCCTGAGGCTGGATGAAAAGTGCTTTGCGTTGTTGACATTGAGGATGAGAGAGTAACATTTCCAGAATCTAATGCTGAAGTGAGAGTTTCTTTTAATGACAGTGAAGTAGAACCAATTTGCACAATCAATGAACCATCATATCTGAAATAATAAGAGATTATTTGTGTGTACATCAAACTATGAGACATTTTTGCATTTTAAATAGATTTAATGTTCTTCTATTTAGATTATTTACTTTTTAGTATTTCCAGTAATTGACACTAATGTTTGTCCTCTTAATCGTTGTGTCAATGTAATTGATCCTTGGGCTTTTCTCATACATCCTTCTACTTTCAGACCGCCTAGTGTTGCTGCATAATGAATTTCATCAATAACCAACCATCCAAATGATGATAACAAAATTGTTTCACCACCAAGTCTTGTATTATGTACTAATTTAAATGATGAATTATTTTGATTATTTGTCAATATTGGCGACGAAGGTATTCCAGTTGTAGTTAAATCATTTGATTGAAGAACTGTAGACGGTTCTGGTGGTTGCGATCCACTTCGTTGTTTTGTTGGTTGTTGTTGACGAGTATTGAGAGGTGGAACAGTGACTTGTTTTACATCAGGTACACCAGCATAAATATAGACAAGTTCACGTAATTTTTTCCAACATAGGCGTTCACCTACATCTGTGGTGGGTGGAGAACCAAGAACTGGTTTAATAATAAGATTTTCCAAGGCTGATAATCGACTGCCTGGTAATGGTTGATCTTGTTCTGCGAGTACCAATGTATTACTTCGGGTATTTTGTCGTGTTTGATCTGGTTGTGTTTGTTGTTCTATTTCATCGCTCTCATATTCCAAAGCATTACCAACTACTGTATAAAACTGATAGACTAAAAAGAGCAGAAAGAGAGAAGTGCATAATGTTTAAAACAATTGTCTTATTACATACTTAAACGTAGTAACGGTAAATTGACTTCTTGTTGAACACGTTGTACACGAATACCTGCTTGCACATTAGCTGAATGCAATTGATCATGTTCAAGAAGTTGTCGGCATACGCTTTGAATACTTAAACTATTGACAGATAAAACTGATAATTCACTCGTTGATTGAGCTAATGTTGATGGACGATGAAATGGAGGACGATAATGAACACCTGTATTTATTGTACTCTGATCTAAAATATCTATCTATTTAACATATTTGTCTAATTTTATTAACGATAATACGTACGTGTATTGAATACAGGTACACTTGTTGTAGTTGTCATTGATGGTGCTTGCCCTGTTGTTGTGAGCACCCCCAATGGTTCATTTGGTAAAATTTTTACATCAAAACATTTTAGAAGTACCGATGCCAAAATTGTTTGACCTAGTTTTTCAAACAGAGGTTCAATCGATGAACTAACCGACATTTCTACACCAGCATATTCCAATAAAACTTTAAATAATTGTTCAACTGGACCCGAATATTCTGGACCGGCATCAGTATAATATGGAATATCGTCATCATCTAAATCTTCAGTCAATTCGCCTAGTTCAACAGCATCATCAAAAACTGCTGGTTCATTATCTTGCTGAAATGGATTTTCTTTAGGCATTTGAGATGATGCTGGTGAATTAGCCGTTGTTTCAAAATCTGATTCTTCTCCACTCAAACGTTTGTAACCGTTGGCATTATCAACATTAACTACAGGAGCAAATGTTCGAACCATATCGCCTAAACATAGATAAAAAAAAAGAATTACATCTATTTTTAGATATTCAATTGAGATTATCATTAGATACAGTCGTTCGCAAGCGAGCAAAATCACGATTTATTTTTTTTAACATCAAAAAAACTAAGATCCTCTTCCCAAAATAGGAGAAGTACATCTTTTTCACATAAGAGCACATCGATATATTATGTATGCACATGCAAAGCATACTCTATAGTCATTTTGAGCACAATTTATAATCCATATTGCATGCAGCCAGTTAAATACTTTAATTATTCATGAGCGATTGGAATCTTATTCTTTCTTAGAGGCAAATGAAAGTATCCTCAAAAACTGATTTTGAAATATATATGTAGCCATGTAGATGTGCGTGTAAAAAAAAATACAGGCTTTGAGTGAAATGTGTAGTTAAATTAAATAAGAAATTATCGCTTAAATTAAACGTTCACTATACCAAATTTTTCTTATGTTTATTTGCGGTCATTAATCACCATATAGCGATTATAACGAAAACTTACCATTAGAAATAGCATACGCAACATTTACATGGCCTTGTGAAGAAGTTCTAGTTCGAGTTGTTGTAGGTGCTTAAAACAACAACAACACAAATCGTGCATATGTGCTTAAAAATAATATGAGTTAACGTGCAGAATTTATCAGTCCTGTCAATATTACTACTCACAAAGTAGAGCAGGTAACAATTTATTTTCTGTTTTATGTGTAATACCAATGATTAAACATTTTTCACACTTTTATTCAAAATAGGATTCTTCTAGGAACAGAGGAGTTGCCCGAAAAAAAAATGAATTATTGTCGCTCAGAGATGACTTTAAACTTTGTTTAGGCGAGAAAAAAAAAACATTTTAAATTTTTTTTGACTTTTGTTTTTTTAGATACACACAAAGGTTTATTAGTAGGACAGTAGAACAGCAGTGTTATTAACCAAAATCATTTTCCTACCTAAAAAGTTTGTTGTTTTTCTTTTTTGTTGACTATTTGTACTATCTCTCCTTTCTATACCAATGTTGAGATTTGTTGTCTCATCTTGTGACTCAGTCATCAAATCTGTATCCTGAATAGGCGTCATTTCAAACATATTGACAATCGTACAATCTTGACCACTGCCAGCTGTTGACGAACGATGTGGCTGTCTAGTAAATACGGTTGCTGATTTTGTTGTGTCTGATTGTGACGATGGCATTGTCATTCGTCGTTGTCTTACCGTTTCATCATTAGTACTACCTGATTCTAAATCTTTTTTTCCAGGATAAACTGATTGTCTTGTATGAGCATAAGCGTACTCATGACCGATAATTTTTTGTTTTAATCGATCAATTGTTGGTGAACGATGTTTTGCTTGTTGTTCGATAGTCACAGTACGAGTAGGTGGAGTATCTTTTGTGTCACCGTCTGTAGAACTATTGTTAGTTGTCGATGTTGACGTGGTATGTTGACGTTTTAAAAGATGAACCTGTACAGAAATTTATAGAATATCAGAAACAGAATTCAAATTGATGATGAACTTACCCAAGCTCTACATGCTTCTTTAATTCCTCGTTTTAACAATTGTATATCGGGCAGATGTTTAGAATCTAAATTTTGTTCATATTCTTCTTTCGGTAATTCACCAAATCTTCGTCTTAGTTCACAAACCAATTGGCCAACAGGGTTTGTTAGCAAACATTTAGTTTTTGGTGTAAATAGATCATATAATTTCGAATGTTTTAAAGATTTTATTGCATCTGGCTGTGTTTCAATAAGATAATAGGCAAGAATCGAATCGATTCGTTGTTGACGTAAAAATAAAAGTTCTTCAAGAGGTTTTTTAACACGATTAATAACACAAAACCAACCGAGAACAGTAGGTGAAAGTGTTGAAAGAAAATTCCAGTCATATCGAGTATAGGAGAAGAGTTTTTTACGATGAGCTTTAACGCCAGAACTATGGGGTGGTTCAGGAAATGAAATCCAAATATGATCAATTGAACCATCGAAAACACTTGAGGAAGACGAATTTGTAGATGTTGTTAATGATTTAACAGAATAGTTTGGAGACAATAAGGGAGTTGGTATTGGCGACGATAAAAGTAAGACTTCAGTTGATTGTTTTCGTTTGGCTTTTGTATGTATTTTTTCCTTTGTTGTTGCTGTTTCATCAACAGCTGTCACCGTTGGCGGTCTTTTTTCCATTGTCTTTTTTCGCTGATGTCCTTTTGTTGAATTATTCACCAATTTGAAACATAACTTTTGTATACCAAATTCATTCATCACATAACCAAAATTTTTCGATGTTAGTGATTTTCGTTGTTGACTACCTCCATTTCCGAATGATAATGTTGTAGGTGTGTGAACAGGTAAATGTGTTTGTTGATCTTGTGAAATACGAAGTTGTAATTTACATCGTTGTGATTGTATTGCATGTACATTAACATTATCCAATGATGAAAAATCATTTTCAAAACGACGAAATTGACCCGTAAGTGATTGAATTTTAAAAACAATAGCAGCCGATTCATCGGGACTGGATAAAATTGTTTGTATTTGAATTTGTTTCAATGATAAACTAAATCAAATAATTTATAAGTTTATTTTAATCAAATCTTATGTGTTCTCTTACCTGAACAGTGACATTGTTACAATATCCACAGGCGTTATTAATTCTGTTAATTGTACATTATCTTCGGCTAATCCTGCTTGTAATAAACATAAATTAATTTTTGGTAATTGAAGACTAATTTTTGTTTTAACCGTATCACCATTTGATAAAGAAGAAGCGGGTAGTGACTGTTTTTGTTGTGCTTCAAAATGAAGACGATCCAAAACGGATAGTGGATGAATTTCATATTGTTTCCATTTCTCGATATATGTTGTTAAACATTCTAAAATTAATGGTGTCAATAGAATGTTTATAGAACCTATACATTTGATACAAATATCATTTGTTGTTGATGTTATTGTTGATGTACGAGTTGGTGGACGTTGAGCTTGCTGCTGTTGTTTTGAAGTGGTAGTTGATGTAGGTGTGGCTGTGGATGATGTCGGTGACTCAATGAGAAATGAACAAGAGAATCCTTGTGATACACAGTCAAATTCTAAAAGTGGATCCGACGTAGGTGGTGATTTTACAGGCGGCATTTGAATATGGCTTGTTTTTGAACGATAATGCGATAAATATCGGATATAAGATGTGCATAATAGCGTCGAATTTTGAATGGGCATTTTCATTTGATTACGTAAACTTATCCATGATGCATCATGTTGAACTTCGAGTGATGAACCCTAGAGTAAAAAAAATATGTTGTTTTCTTCTAATCAGTATTTAAATAGAACATTGCTGATTTACCTGTCGGTGTATATCTAAACTATTTAAGTTTCCCGTGCTTTGTTGTTGTTGTTTTTGTAATATTTCTTCATACATATTCAGCGAGTCTGAGGATGATGTTCTAGACAAAACTGCTGGATCTTGTTGACTATTATTATTTAACTGTTTAAGTAGATTTGTGTAAGATTGTGATGGACTTGTCATTGTTGATTGCGTATCGCCATCTGTGGTTGTTGTATGTTGAATAACTGTAGATGGTATGGCTGATGATGAAGAAGATATTGATGAGTTATCGTCAAGCATTTGATTTAATTTCAATGTTGAATTTAAACTTGTACGACTACTATTGTTGGAAGACAGATTCTCGGATGGAGTTAAATAAACATCATTTGTTGTTGAACTTGAACTACCACTTGTACCTGGAAAAAAAAATGAAAATGGAAGTGAAAAGAGTCTAGAGAGAGATGATATTTATACCTTGTTGAAGATTTTGTTGTTCAATAATTGATGACGATGATCGTTTGTGTTGTTTTGGAATATTTACTGTCGACACTCTTGGTGTTCGAGCACTATTTGTTCGTGAGAGTGATGAGCTGTTATTCATAAACAAATTATTTGGAACACTGTGACGAAATGCATGATGCGAAGCGTGTGCTGAGTTTGTTAGAAGAAGTAGAGTAGGATCACAAAAATCAAAAGGATAATTATTTAACGATGTTGTATCATCATCACTCTGTGTTTGTTGGTTTTGTCTATAGTCATAAGTCATCCATTCATATTTTGTTTCAAAAATCGGATGTGACTGGAATAAATGTACATCTGGACGAAATAAACTTTTACCAAAATTTGTTTGTTGTGATAATAAATACGTTGATTTGAAAAAATTTTCATTGGCTAATGTATAATACGCTGGACTTCCGCCTAGACATGCACACGTTGGACCACCCCCACCATGTTGTTGTGTTTGAGAAACAGAAGTTAAACCAGCTGTTGATAAACGTTTTTGTTGTTGTTGTGTTTGTTGTTTATTCCATAAGAAATGAAGACGATGTGTTCGTTGATCATGTCGTTTTAAAAAATCTATTTGTTCACTCGTCAAATGAAGATGACTACCTAATTTGCCGTTAATACGAATTTCTGATACTTGAAATGAACCGGCTTCAAGCCATGAACGAGGATGTAAACGAAGTAATTGACGAAGTTGAAGTGAGCCAATTTTTAATGTTAAACCTTCGGAACATGTAGATGAATGTAAATTACATTTACATAAACGAACTGGACTCAACTAAACAATAAAATAATATTCTGTACATAAATGACAATCTATTTAATATTACGAACACATCGATTTTGTCTAGGCATGCATCAGTTATATAACTGGTATCAGAGTATATAGGAACAATGTTAAAATGAAAATTTATTCAGAATATTGCAGGAGCTGTAAAACTCCGATGATTTTCGAAATTTAAACTTAATTGTGGTACAACTATGACCACTTTAGAATACCATAAGGATAGGATTTTACTTAAGTGCGTCTTATTTTAGTACGCTCTCATTTGAGCACATTATCGTTTTTAGTGCGTTTCGTTTTGATGGATTTTTAAATACACCATTTGTTCTTTAAAATAATGGGAACATTTTAAACCATTTCTGTCATCACTGTTTCGGGACTTTGAACGACCAGGACAATCATATTGTCAATATTTCGACGATATTAATTCTTTCTGATCACATTCAATCCGATAACTATAGTCTTCGAATTGAGCTGCTGATTTCAACAGCTATCGTCCCTATACACATCATCTAATCTTCTGTATTCTAAGTCAAGAAACATGAATAAAGTTGAAATATTCGACACAGATCATGGTAACCAACAGCTCAATTCGAAGACTATAGTTGATATAAGTTTTATTCTGTTAGAATACAAGTGGAAAGGGATAATAGTAAAACATGAAGGCACTCACAGACGTCCACAGACACTTACAGGCAGCATACAGACATTCACAGATAGCCACTGACAGCTACACAGACAGCATAGAGACACCCACAGATAACCCAAAATAACTACACTGATATCCACTTCTACGGACATGGGAGGGACACAGAAGCGGATGTCTGTATAGTTATTTTGAGTTGTCTGTGGGTGTCTCTATGCTGTCTGTGTAGCTGTCAGTGGTTATCTGTGAATGTCTGTGTGCTGTCTTTAAGTGTCCGTGGATGTCTGTGGGTATCTTCATGTTTTACTATTACCCACGTGAAAAGATATTCCATTATAGTATTCTAAACTAAAACTATCGAATATGAACTTAGCTTTGCAGTAAACTGTAAAACTAAATCCACTGTTCTGTGTCTATATTCTGTACAACGATTGACATTGTGCAATCGACTCGATGTTATCAATAGTCATTTTTTGTGTTCTGTTTTTGATTATGGTTATCGAATTGAACGTGATCAGAAAGGACTAATTTCGTTGAAATGTCGGCAATATGATTGTCCTGGTCATTTGAAGCCTCGAAACAGTGATGACAGAAACGATTCAAAATATTCACACTACTTTGAAGAATAAATAGTATATAAAAATCCATCAAAACGATAACACGCTCAAATGAGAGTGCACTAAAATAAGATACACTCAGATGCCACTCTTCCACCATAGCTGTGCATGATAATTGGTCACCAGTTAAATAACTGTTCTTGGCTCTTCAGTAATTCACTCGAAAAACGTCTCTCTTTTATCCTTTCATTTCGTCTTTGCCACGGATAAATAGATCAAACATTTCTCTACAAAATTAGATGTTTCTCAAATCGGGACGATTCTTAATAATCGTATTATAACAATTTTTCTGGATATAGTACGAAAAACTGTTTCCTATCTAGTTCTGTTAAGTTTATCTCTCAGATAAAAATTAGTTTAATTTAGATACCTGCAAATTAAGTGCATTTCCAACTTCAACCAAATTAAAATCAAGTGAATCTAAACTAAATCTTAAAATATCATATTTTTGTTTTTCAATCCAAGATGTTTTGTCACCAATTGGACTTCGAACTAATTCATATTCATCTTCCATTATTAATAGAAAAAAATTTTGACCAAAAGTAAGTAATTTTTCGAGCTAAAACAGAATATATATATATAATCTTTAATATACAAATCTACTATTTTTACATACTTGTATCATTGTCAATTGAGTCGATATTTTTCCTAGAAGAATATCCATTTGCCATGAATATTCTAAAGTTTCACGTTCCGGTGGTAATCCTTCATGAGATAACATTGCATGACCACGAATGATTAAACCAGATAAGGTAATGCAACCAGTAGACAAATGAGAATCCGATTTATTTCGCTATAAAAGAGAAAAATGAAATAATCTTTTTATAAATTGAGAAAGGAAATAAAATATACTTCAACAGTATCTTCTAAATATAAATGCACTGGAGGAAAATAAAGTTGTAAACGTGTTTCATCTAAATCTGTTGTCATTTCAAAACATAAACGTTCACAAAATGCAATTGGACATGGTTCATTATCAGTATACTAAAAAAGAACAGAGATCACACACTGAAATTGTCATATTAAACATTATAAAATAATCATTTTTCATATCTTTAGTGACTTTATTAAATGAATCACCTGTAAATATATTCATTATTATCAGGAGATCAGTAGTTTTCATATAATACATTAGAAATAAATTAGAGAACGAGAGCAAGATCATTTTTGTGATATACAAAGTTTTTTAAGAAATTGTTGTTTTTAATACTAACTTGTACAATATGTGCAATGATATTGTGAATCGATACTCGTACAGTTACAGCCAACGGTCTGTAATATCTTGAATCAAAATCAGTATGATCATCAATATTTTCAACAACAAGAGTTGTTGCCTTCGTCACATCATTGTTGACAGATTTTATTGGATTTGATTTTGCTAATTGTTTCAATGCTTTTGGTTCTTTAATATCGTGAAACATTTGATCCCAACCAAATAAATTTTCCTACAAAAGATCAAAAACAATTTTCAATATGTCAATTTTTAGTATTCGCAAAGGTATAAACATGTAGAGTGATAGTTTAACTTACTTTGACCCACCATAATCTTTTTAAAAAGATTCCATATAAAAGTAGTGTTAATGGTGCAATTTCGATTTCAATATCGAATACATCATAATCTAATTTAGCCGGATGAAATGTTTGACGATTACCAATACTTTTCAACCATTGTACATAGAGTAAATCTTAAGAATATGAGTACATACATTAATTACAATATGTTAAAATATTCAACATTATCTACCTGTTCGATTTACGTCTACGGGTGATGAAGAATGTAGTAGAAATTGAATTTTTATTTTAACGGCACTTGTTTCACCACAATTAAAACATGAGTCACTTAAACAATATTAAAATTAGCAATAAAAATGATGGAGAATTTTAAAATTCAAGATAATTGCTTATTAAAACCTTGTTAGAGCAGCCTCTTGTGGGATTAAAATGGTGAAACCCCTCTACATTAGCCGAGAGGTGATGTTGGGAATAGTGTACACTAACATAGGCCATATACAACAGACTAGGTGTGGACAAGCTGATAAAGACAATTGTTAAAAGACAGCTAGAATGGGTAGGACATATTTGCAGAAGTTCAGATGCTGAGCCCTTGAGAAAATTTGGCTTCTATCAACCATTGCATGGTACAAACAATCCGGGAAAGCAACCCCAGGACTATCTTGGTTATGTGTTCAACTTGCTAAATAATGGTATTCGCGATAAGAAGTATTGGAAAGTGATGGACATTGTAAATGATGCTATGAGTAAGCACAAATGGAAGAAGATTGTGGTCGCCTGCTCCAGAGCAGCCGAGTGATGATGATGATGATGGTACACTAACATAGAGAAGTAACGAAAATTGCTGCTGTCTTTTAAGATGAATACACCTCTTGAATAAGATCATTACACTACTCTATTGAGAGGAATACACTCCAGGGAGGAGGTAAAAAAATAGATCAAAATCAAAAAAAAAAGGCTTTTTGAGTATAAAACTTCAACTCCTTCTCCTTTGGAGATATTGAACGAGTTTCACAAAAAGTATTTGGAATATTTCTCAATAATAATCAGTATTTATTTCGCCTATCAATATAACTTTAACTTTTTAGTAACCTAATAATGTCCAAGTTCAACATCAGAATGGCACACAATAAAAACTAGTTGTTAAAAAACCAGTCCATATCCAATGAGGATCAATGACATAAAAGTGATCATACTGTAATCAGCATACATCATTTGCTATGAAAATATTCGTTTTTATATAAAAAAGTTTGATTTTTAAAAAAACAAATGATGAAGTAATTAGTGTGGGGCGCCTTATTGTAAGGCAGTTTTCGTGATGCTCCAAGGTTTCTAAAGCAAACTTTTTGTGCTCAGTTTGTAGAGAATTGAATGCTGTATCTGATGGCAGAATCGGAGGTTTAGTCAAATGTTATTTAGGTACCGAAAAATTGATTTTATTTGAAAAATTCCGGTTTTAGAAACACTATTTTTTCACTTGTTTGACTTCTAAAAACTTCAGTTTCAATACTAAAAATTTAAAAAACAATCTCTAGAAACTGAGCGCAAATAAAATGTTTATCTGTTTCGTGGTGATAAAACAATATTTTCCATTTCAGGGATCGTGAGCGACCCCAGCTATGAGTTTCAGGTTTAAGAGACTAATATATAAGACTAAAAAATATGTCTCACTCATTATGTTCATCAGATATTTCTTTTATCAAAAGTTATATCTCATCTATCTCACATAGAAATAATTTTTCATAATCATTTTTGATATATAATTGAACGATTATTTCTTTGAATAAATATCAAGAAGTGACTAGTCATATTTATGACTTAAAACTATATCTAAACAAAATAATGTCTTACTTTGTTTCAAATTCTGATACTAATTCTGATACTAATTTTAATTCGTTTTTTATTCCATTTGGTGTGTGAAATTTTTGATGTGATTTCAAACCTTTCAAAATGTAATGGGAACGATTTCCTTCAGGAATTACTAATCGAGCTAATATATCATTGACCTTAAACACAGAAAATTAAATAGATATATTATGATATAAGAAATCAAAGATATCGTCACATCTGTCAATATTCTTACTTCAATATTTAGATCCATTGGTGTCGATTTTGGACAATATTCAGTAAATGGTAAACAAAACGTTAGATCTAACGATTTGGCACATATAGATAATAAATCTAGACAACAAAATAAATAGAATATTTGATATCATTAAAGAAATGACACATACTATTTTCAGCTTGGTCTAAATCACAATCGATCCAATTACATTGATTACATGGTACTAAAACTTCAATTAAACTTCCTTTCACCAATATGTTATAAACAAATGGTGTAAATTTATTAATTTGAGGTGGTAAATTGGATGATAAATCATTGAGAAGAGCTAAAATAAAATATTGAAGAATTACTTTGATACAAATTTATTTATGAATAAAAGAAAAAACTAACCAACAAAATAATTTTTATGTTCAAATATAAAATGAACTTTTGCTTTTTGAGCATCAATATTAATTTTCCAATCTTGTAATGAATTCCACAATCGTGGATAATGAATTACCAAATTAATATCTACTTTTTCTGCTTGTAATAATGGTTGAAATGCTAAATTTGTTTTTGCTTGTGGTTGTAAAATGGAAATATTAATAAATGAATCAAAACCATGTTCAAGTGTAACCCATGGAAATAAACATTCAAATTTTGAACCTTTGATAAAATCAACATGTAAATTATGTAATTTCTAAAAATAAATATAAAATATAAAAAAATAGAGTGTCTGTGTATAATAGAAAAGTAACTGACCGATTTTTCATTGAAATAGAGATCTAATTTTGATGGTTGATTAAAATACATTAAAAATCGAACATTTTTAAATATACGATTTTGACCAATTTGAGGTTGAGCATTTGGCAATGATTCTTCATATAATGTGGGTAAAAAATATGCCCACAATAATTCTCTATAAAAAAAAGAAAACGAATTGATCTGTTTAATAATTAATGTATTGGTAATTTTTCATTACCTTTGTCTATCTGCCCATGGACTATATGATATTTGAGCTTTATCATTACATTTTAGTCGAATTTCCCATAGAGGATCGGGTACTGGGATTAATACACCATCAGTACCAAATACTAATGACTGTTCAACAACTTTCCCTTAAAAATACATAATACATTTTAAATTTGTAGAAGAAAAATTTTTTCAATAATTTTGTATTTACCTGGTACATCTTGTTCGTATTCAAGTTCTCCTTTGTTACATTGAAATATTTCAAATAAATCACGATCTCCGTGTTTACCCACAACTAATGAAGGTGGTCTAAATTAAAAGAGAATTGTATAAAAGAGGGAAAAAGAAAATAAGAATTTAATTTACACTTCGATAATTCCCGTTCCTTTGTATCGTTTAATTGGAAATAAATGAATTTTTAATTGATGATATTTGCATTCATATAAAACTGTAAATAAATCGTATAATGACGATTTACAAGGAGTTAACGTTGTTAATGTTGATCTTAGCAATTGAAAACGGATTACAAAACCATAGGGTAAACTTTCATGACCGGCACATAAACGACCCTAAAAGAAAAAAATTATATAGCAAATAAAGTAACTTTTCTCATCTTATGAGATAAAATAAAAGAATAAATTAAAATCAGTAGATAATTGAAATAAAAACTGTTCCTGTACGTTGAATTTTAATACTTAGTCAAAAATAGGCATACACTATTAATGATACATTCCGGTTTTTTTTCGCCGATAAAACTGTGCGTCATCTAATTTATTAGAGTCAGCTGTAATCAGGGCCGTAGCCAGGGGAGACCGATCCCCCATTAACTTTTTAAAAATGATTTTTTTTCACTGAATCCCGTCAGATAAAGTTGATAATTGATAAGACTTCACACTATCTCTGAAGGCAAAAAAGTCGATTTTTCCCGAGCAAGTTGATTTTCTGATAGATTCGCTATGGCTATTAACACTAAAAATAACCAATATGCAAAAATTGTTCTGTTTTATTTTTAAGGCACTTGTGTAGCACACTATCGACAGAATTATAAAATAAACAAGTGAAAAAGAAATAAAACTATCAACACCCTCGAGTTAACATACGTAATCGAAGTACCTGGGAAAATTGGTAACTATTTTTAAATACTAATAACTTGGTATAAACTTTTACAATTACTAATCCAATATTACAATACTTTGTTTAATTACTCCGAAGTAGTTTGCAAAAGGATTTGCAGTTTTACTTGAGAATCACTTACAAGTCAATTTACCTCTGGAAAAAAGGTAAATATTGGCTTCATTGTGCAAGCGAAGTACTTATCCCAAATGGTATATTCACTAGGGACTATTTATTTGTTTATACACAGAGATAAAATCGACAATAAATATTCAGATCAGCTGCCTCTTGGAAATTCTAAACCGTTTCCTGAGAAAAAATGTCGAGATATAATGCTGCAAAACAAAGATTTCTTCTGTAGAAAAGCGACGTGAATGTCATTACACCAAATAATAACTGACAGAATGTTCTATTTACTTTTAAATCGTTACTACGTTAAAAACATCTGTAGCTCCTTAGGTAGAACTGCTCGTAAGAAAAATTAAGGAGAGCTTACAAAATTCTGAAAGAAAAAATTTCTGAAATCCTGCTTCAGTTACAGGAAAAAGTATCGTTTTTGATCAGTTATAATGTATGCTTAGTCAAACGCAATCTTTTCTGCAAACAGTCATCTAACTTCATTCAAGTTATCGAAGGTAATCTTACATTACTAATTTTTATTTTGATTGCCGGAAATAAACTCCTCAGACGTTTTGTAAAATTGCTACTTGACTCATTTTGTGCATCGTCGCCTTTCACCGAACAACTAAAATGAAAAGAAACATCATTATAATACATCTTTTTCAGAGAAAAACAGAGTTCAATTGTTAAGTAATAAAAACGTGTTTTCAAGACAAGGCCAGTTAAAGCTTATCAACAACCAGAAAAACAAATAAAAATACTTGGGACGATAGCTTCTGGCGGGCCTAAAATGTGAAACTCCTCACTTTGGTTCCAGATGATAGTAAATGGAACAATTGATACCTCTAGTTTACTGCAGGAGAAATATTTGATGCGGCTTTGCAAAATCATTCCAGTTTAAAATCAAAACGAGTGCCATAGCAACACATTTCCCCGCGTCAAAACTGCCATAAGATTCCAGAATATTTTAGATTTCTAAAATGTTCTTGAATATTCTAGAATAGAACCTTTAAGACCAACAAGTAAGGTGAATGTGGTCATTCACAGACTCCTTCGCTTGAAGCTTCAACCAGTATTCCTTTGCATGAGAACCAAAAAGTTTTACACAAAATCCGCCTGAAACTCGAAAGAATTTATGCACAATAAGCCTGAGGCTCAAAAAATTCATCTATATTTCGCATCATTAGTCTACTTAAGATTCGAAAAAATGTACACAGAATATGCGTGAGACACGAACAATTCATCAGTAGTCTGCATCAGTGTCGAACAAATAATAATACACTGCTGACGTTTTGGAGACCCTTCCTTTTCAAGCGAAGGGAATACTACTGCTATAACAACGTTTTTAATGTTAGGGGAAGGGCGAGGGGCAAAATTTGAGTATAAACTTCAGCTCCTCTCTATATTAAAGTTTAGAAGGGGAGTTTCACAAAAGTCTATGAACACATACCCATTTACTGATCCACTTCCTCCATTTCTTTTCTGTTGTTCTCTTTCTTGTGCTAGTTGGTCGTTTGTTTTGGTAACTGGATTAAAAAATTGTAAATCCAAATTTTTGAGATAAACAATTAGTCGAACTTTTGGTTTTCCTGGTCTCTCCGTTTTACTCTGTCTCGACCAATATCGAAATATTAGATAACCATCTTTGACATGTAACATGGCTGTGGTTGTCGAATAATGTAAATTTCGAAACATTATTTTCCCCGAAATAAATGATATAGAAAATGAGTCAAATTTAACATCAGCGGAATCTTTGAAATAAAGTCGACGTATCAGATAGGATAGAAGAATGCCTTGAATTCGTGAATGATAAAGAATTAAATAGATGATCCATATAATACACAATAAATAAACGGTAATGAGTAATGGAACTTGTTCTTTATGTTGAATGAAATAGTCTTTGATTTCCTGAGCAACTTGATCGATTGGAGATGGTTGAATAGTCGTCGATGAAAGATTTGCAAAACCACTTTGAGTGGTCAGCAGTGATGAATTAAAGGGTATTATTGATGGCAAAGACATGTCCTAAAATATATAACAAAAGAAAAAATTAAATTCACGATAATGATACCATAGAAACTCTTCCTCATGATCAAATTTGAGTATTTTACAAGATCGATTGAGAATTTAGTCGAAATCGTTTCGATCGTATATAATAAACTAGACAAGTATTAAAAATCAAACGTGTTTCGTCAGTCACGCGAATGTACCAATTAGTTTCGTGTATCAGGCTAATAACCGCTACTCTAGAACAACACTGCCCGATTCTTTAAGCCTTAAATAGACTATACAAAGTTTCCAATGAAATTTTAAATTATAGCGAAACAACTACTTTGCTTCAGAACACACGATAGAACAAGTATATTGTTTACAAATTATCTTCGAGAAGACTTTGGATGAGAGCTTTCATCTTACAATTCATCTTTCAAGTTGGAAAGTTAGCAGGTCTGCAAATCGAGATAATTTAGCATTTTCAGTGTTTAAGATATGAGTGAGACAAAGAAGGATTATTACCTTCATTTCTTATGTAAATAAAATAAGAGACATATAAAAGATAATGTATTGACAACTGAAGGAAAAAGAAAATGTGATAAAGAATAACAAAAAACAAGATGTTCAATTTAGCAGTTCTTTAGGGTATAAAACAAAAATTTATAATCAAATTCTAACGTTTAACGAGTTTCTTTTTAGTCTATGGTACTAAGATCACAGTTTTAGTTAGTTTATTCTTTTCGATTATTATTTCACTTCAATATTGCGGTTCTGTCATACCTTTTCCTTCAAACCATCAGCGTTCTCCTATCGTTTTTTTCTATTTCTTTACATGATGCCTTGTATTCATTCTCTTCTTCTACATAATATTTTTCGCATGACACCTTCATCGCAAAGTTGAACGAGTATAAATGAATAAAGTGTGAAAAAAACGTGATCGAACTACTACCCGTTCAAATCTCTATTGTTGCTTGAACAATGTTTGACAAAAATGAGATAGAAACTCATGATTTTTACTATTGTGTAGAAAAGATCTGATGGAGGATACCTGTGGAAAGATAAAGTTGCTAGGATATTCGGTGAAACAGCTCATTTGTGGCTGTTTTCAGTGAAAATTAAAATTTGATAACTCAGTTAAAATCGATCTAGATTACTCCAGAATTTCACCGTATACTCCGTCAAAAATCTATGTTTGGATTCCAACCTTGTCTGTAGATTGTTCCGGCAACTTTATTTTTCCATAGATATCTCCCATCAGATCCTCTGGTAGGGAAAATCGAAGTACCTATCTCATCTCTATCAAGAATTACTAAAAAATCATGAGGATGCACGATATTTTTGAATAGATAGCATATAGGCAGGAAAAATAAAAGCTGTCAGGTGCATGTAATTGGTGAGCATAAAGACTCGTAAATTTTGTGTGAAAAAATGGTGTGAATCTCATTGGCATCTGGTTTAAATATAGTCTTAAATTTATTTTTAAATAATGTTTATTGCGGTTTAGGAATGGTTTGCAGACAGCTATTTGGAGACCAATCGCGTATAAATTTAATTAGAGAAGCACTGTGTGGGAAGGAAGAATACCTCATCATGCGGCTACCGTTTCCAGTATAGGGTGCTGCCGAATGGCAGTTTCAATAGCCCGATATGTTCCCTGCAGTTGACGACCTTCTGATATGGTCATCCACATCGCCACTCGCTAGTCATCGACTACAGCTCTGGGCAGAAGGCTAGCCTGATGCAGAGTTCTTTTCGTCCAATTACTTGAGCTTCTTATGCACACTCACTAATTATATACTAGATTTCCGGAAAGCTATGCGAACTAGCCCGAGGAACTGTATTGTATGTCACAAGGTAGTGAGTATGCTGTCGGACGGGTAATCCGAGACACTATGACAGAAGTAACTTGCCCCCAGATTATTACATGATCTGGCGTTTCCTTGTCGATGTTTTTAAGAATGTATTCCATAGCGATAAAGCCGTCCGTTAGCTAGAGTTTCAAACAAGAGTCAAATATTACGAGGGTGTAAAACAAGCTTTCTCCTCTTGGTATTGTAAAATTCATAAAAGAAGGAAGTTTTCTGAGGTGAAAAAATAACAACTACAACTTTTTCAATTATTCCAGGATGTACCGAGGGAGAAAAGCACTACAAGGCAAATGTATCCATCCTAGCTTCGTGCAAGGATTGATTTTGTGTTTTGATAGTTTAAGTTTCAGAGTGATGTAATGGGAATTTATATTCTCGATTTCGTTCTGGTTCACGATTAAAGCTTAAACCAAATGTACCCATTCCCTTTTTTAGACCCTAGTCGAGACTCCCGGCAAAACTCCAACGGGAGTCCCAAGTTTATGAAAAACTTCAGCAGAAATCGTAAGGAGTCCTGATGACTCTCGCAGGAACTTTCTAAAGTGAAAAGTCCAACATCGAGTCATGAGGGGTCCTCAACAAATTCTTGCAGGAGTCTTGTCGAGAGTCCTGTTGAAGAAAATCATGCATGGACTCCTACAGAACTCCTCAGAGAGCAGAATGTTTTTCTTATAACTCCCATAAGAGAAAGTCTGTCAAGAGTCCCTAGAAATGTGTACTCCCCGGAAGTCACCCTCACACTCCCCAACCTGTGCAATCCCCGAGGAGTCCCTGCCAACTCCTCATTCACCGTTTGTTTTGCAGATAGGCAATATATAAATATAATGTAGTTCTATGATAAAATTTTAAAAGTTTTCTTCTAGTAAGTCAATATTAATGTGTCAACCTTCGATGGGTGATATATGCTCCAGCGGTACCAGTGATAGTATCTGGCACTTAATTACTAATTAGTTACATGAAATTAAGAAGATGGATCAATAGACCCAGAGGGAGTCCTCAAGGACTCTCTTGAAAATCCCCGAGAACTCCCCAGGGACTTCCTTAAGAGTCTCATAGAACTCCTGTGGGAGTCTTGAGGAACCCCTCTTGAATCCCTTAAAAATCCTCCATGACTCCACAGAGGATCCTGCCGGGGCCCCGTGACAGGACTCCTGTAGGACTTTTTTTCCAGGACTCCTGCGGGAGATTAATCAAGAGTCTCGACTAGGGTACCAAAACCGAAAAAGTTTCTTTTATTCTAGGAGAGTGTTTCATAAAAATTCTTAAGTACTCAATTTAACTAATAGATAAAGCGTATAAAATTAACACGTGAGTATACAAAACGGAGACTTAAGTATCACTTAAATCTAGACTCAGTTAAATGGAGCACTTAAGCATTCTTATGAAACACCCTCCAGTATGACAGTCCATCATTTTAGAGTGACATTCCACCATCATCGAATAGCTTTCCAGAAATTTTGTACCCATTCCGGAATGTGCTATTTACCCCTTGAGATGTGCCCAGTCCCGTTATTTGCTACACTGCCGTTAACTGAGGTGCGATTCCAGATGGGATTTTGTGCTGTAGAGTATTTTTTTGTCGGCCAGCACCCTTGAACATAGTGGGATAAATATTCAGTCCAAGTTCGTATCTCAACAAGTCATGGAGAAAATTGCGCCATTTTTCGATAAATTATGTTATTCTTATCTACCGACGATAATTTTAAACAAAATCCAAATGGGGAAAAAAACGACTACCCGGCATTTTTTTAAAACTACGGCATTTGAAATGGTCATGGGCGCCTGGTGGTTATTTAACAAATCACGATTTTTGATACAACTAGATAAAGAAAATGGCACTCAGTATTTCCCCTTTTCTGAAGACAGAACAAAACAAAAAGTTCTTGCACTATAGATAAAAATGAAGCTAAAGAGCTGTTTAATCCAATAAAAACGAATAAGGTCGATATCTAACTTCCTCTTTGAGTATGCAGCCCATCTCCGAAGACCCTTTTTTAAAAACAGTCAACTTTCAGGCCCCATAGCACAAAAACTATACGATAGAATTTTTTTGTTTTTCTCCCATTTATAGTACTCGTCGAGCTCTACAAAATGGCATCAAAGATATTTTTGGCCCCTTCCGTTTTCATCCTCTTTTCTTGATCACAAAAGTCAAAAATATCGATTACTTCTTTCAGTACTTTGGCGGGAGTTTTACTCCGCTTTGATTTCTACTAAGCGAGAAGAGACTCTGATGCTATATTTAACTTATCGTTAACTTGATTGAGTCAAAATTGCTTATAAAAGAATTATAGGTAACATTTTCCGCAGCGGATTTTTTCGACGAATTCTATTGGTCGAGTTCAATTAGAATAAGCACTTTGTATTATGAGGCCTGAAAGGTGACTGTTTTTAAAAAGGGTCTTCAGAGATGGGCTGCATACTCAAAGAGGAAGTTAGATATCGACCTTATTCGTTTTTATTGGATTAAACAGCTCTTTAGCTTCATTTTTATCTATAGTGCAAGAACTTTTTGTTTTGTTGTCTTCAGAAAAGGGGAAATACTGAGTGCCATTTAGTGACAGCTGGCCTGCCATTGTAAAAGTACTACGACAAGTTTTTAATATTACTGTTTGTACTAACTACTCGAGGTGCTCTTTTGTGTGATATGTCCAACAGTGGTGTAAGCTCTGTAGAGGCAGAGAAAAACAAGATCAAAGTTGCTTTATTAGGGGGAGGGTCGAAACTTGACATTCCTGAAAAGGCATGTAGACTGTGACTTTTTTAGTGAACAAATACGAGATTCTATGTAACTTTTTATGCTCTACAGGAGAAGAGTCTTGAAATTTTTTCGACTATTATGTCATGTAATGGTGGGCGGTCCAAAATGGAAGTACCCACCAGCTAAAGAAATATTTAATACTGATAGATAGGAATAAGAGTTATTACTTCTTTACGGTCCAGGAAATACACGTACTTCAAATTATTAGAGATACTACAACGGACAAGCCGTTGACAACAGATTGAATCACCCACTGCCCTTAGGCGATTGTCTTTCTTTATTCCTCTATAACCGCTTACATGTAGACTTGTATTGATAATGCCTATTTGTTATTTATATGATGATACATTGTTCAAATTATAATTGAAAATAAATAATTTAGGAAAAGTAATGTACGCATA